ATATTTTTTTCCTGTAAATCATGGTTATATTTTACCATTTTGGGAAGGGGGCTCCAGCCTATAAAAATATCCTAGTATGATCACACATCACTGAAAATAGCATGAAATTTTCTATCGGATCATGAAATAATATTTGCGGAATTTTGAGTTATAATAGATTTATTATAATGTAAATCAAACAAGTTTTTTGCGGAAATGGTGTGCTAATCTATATCCATCAATACCTTTAGCAAAAATCTCTCTACGAACACTCCAATACAACCATACATTATTGAAAATGGGATACAATTCTCTATTAATTGAAAAAATAATATAAATGGGATTTTGATTTTGAATAGTTATATTACAATTTAATTAAAATTTAATTTATCAGTTATATGATTATAGCAATTTTTACTTTAATAAATTGCTATAATCTTTTTCCGAATACAAGCATATATTACTTCAAAAAACATGCAATACTCTTAAAAATGATAAAATAACATTGGAGGGAGGAACTTATGGGAAGTTAATGAGATTTATTATAATATAAATAATTAAAATAATTTTCGCGTATTGCGGTGTCGGCGTTAATAATGTTTGTATTTATTCAATTGGAGAATGAATGACTCCTTAATTGTTTAAGGTAGAAAGAATATATTAAAAAAAAAATATATTAACAAGGAAAGAAGGAAATATATTAAAATTAGATACTGGAGTGATGTTCACCAATAATCAATAGCATGTTTAGAGATAGAGATCAAAATGTGTTTAGATGATTCTTACCGCAGAATCCTTGGCCCTCGTCTCTAATCTAAGTTTGTCTATTTAATTCGGTATTAAAAACTCGTATATACCCATTTTCTTTCTATTTGGATCGTAAGATAATTTGAGCACAAAATCGAAAAGAAATATTGTGGCCTACTAAAATATTGGGCAGCTTGTCCTGCACAACCTCGTTATTTTCACATTTTAGGGTAGTACGCTAGATGGCTCAATATTTTTTAAGGAAAAAAAAAAACACTTTTTTTCTCGAGTTTGTGCCCAAACTATTCTACGATTCAAGTGGAAATCAAATGGGTATTTACGCAGTTTTAGTACCTAATTAAATAGACAAAGTTTGATGATCTCTACATTGAAAACGCCACAATTCCGAAGATTTTCGTAAATAAATTAGTTGTGGGTTAGGATGAGATGAAACTATTATTTTTATTTTTTTCACTTTAAAATTCCTAAAATAGAGTACTTTTAGTGTATATCCGACCAGTTTATTTTTTAATCATCACCGTAGAAGGTATGACGTGTAGAAGTGAGAATAAGATTACATTATATTATATTCATAGAATAAAACTAATGTTAACTTGATTAGAGCCAGCTTTGGGGAGACTAACATAACACTAAAGGGATTATAAAAATTTATTTATTAGTTATACATATTCCTGGCTCACAATAAATTTGCCATCTACCTCGGTATTCTGCAAATATGATATCAAGGAGAAGAAATGATACCATAAAAAAAAGAATAGTAATAACAAAACAAATAGACAAAAAAAAAAATAATAAAAAAATAACAGTACTAAACAACTCATAATAACACACACAAAAAAAGATAATGCAGCAAATAGCTCAAATAAATTATAAAAATAATTTAGGATAGTAATTAATACTCGTGACTTCATGCGATTATTAGTGAATTTCACTCCACTATCTAATTTTAATATATATTGGAGTTCTGGCAATGGCCAGATTCTCCACTCAAGTCATGAGTGTCTGTGGTTGTAGCGCCCTTCCTCAATCTCCGCTGGCTTTTAATGCCAGTGAAGTGGTTGAGGAAGAAGCGCAGGGATCTCCTGAAGCCTCGCTTTCCCTCCACATGTGGGGGGGCAAGTATGGTTCGGAGTTCCCATGGCTGGCTGTAAATAGTGTAAATAGGTATACCTGCATCTAAGATGTTTATTTTCATTACCTTTTTTAAAGATAATTTTAATTCTTTTTTATTAATTTATTTTTATTCTATTATTACTATTGTTTATATTTTCTTCCTTCACTATGATATTTTATTTTGTTCTTTTATAGCTTTATATTATTTTGAAATTAGCTTATTTATTTATTTTTTGTAAATATGGTGTGAATGTGCTCTCAGAAATCTATTGTAAATGTCCTTTATTGAGACAGATTGTAATATTTATCAATAAACAAATAATCCATTATAAAAAAAAATTAATATATTTTGGCTTCTACCTCCTTACCTTCTTCCTACCTTAAACAGTTAAGGAGTCATTCACTCTCCAATTGAATAAACACAAACATTATTAACGACGACACCGCAATACACAAAAATTATTTTACTTATTTATATTATAATAAATTTCATTAAACTCAATTCCAATGTTATTTGGAAGAGTATTGCATGTTGTTTGAAGTAATATATGGTTGTATTCGAGAAAAGATTATAGCAATTTATTTAAGTAAAAATTGTAATAACCATATAACTTATAAATTAAAATTTTAATGTAGCAGGCTTAAATTGTAATATAACTCTTCAAACTCAAAATCCCACTAATATTATTTTTCCCATTTGATTGAGGATTTTTTCCCGTTTTCACTAATATGTGGTTGTATTGGAGCAATTTGGGGGGACTTCAGCCCGAAAGCCCTCTCCCCCCCCCATAGATCCGCCCGTGTATTGGATCATTCGTGGAGAAATGTATGCTACAGGTATTTTTTGATATCGACTAGCTCACCATTTCTACATTTCGCTTATTTGATTTACATTATAATAAATCTCTTTTAACTCAAAATTCTACAAATATTATTTCATGATCTGATAGAAAAATTCATGCTCTTTTCAGTGATATGTGAGTATAGTGGATATTTGGAGAGAGATTTAAGCAAATTTTACTTGTATTTATAAATGGTAAATTAAAATTTACTGTATTATATTTAAAGTGTAATAAAACTCTTTAAACTCAAAATCCGACTAATATTATTTTTGCATTTGAAAGAGAATTTTATGCTGTTTTCACTAATATACGTTTGTACTGGGATATTTGGAGAGAGATTTTAACTAGAGGTAGTATATTATTACCACTATATTGAAAATATATGTTTAAGATTTATTTTTTATACATGAAGAAAAATTATAATACTAAAACTTATGATATTAGCAGAATCTGTATTAAATTTATGACAAATGAATACATTTTGAAAGATCTTGATCAATAAATATTGGTTTTATAAATGAAAACCAAATAGGTTTATGCTGGTTTTGAGCCCAATATGTCTTCCCAACTTCAAATATTTCAAAAGTTTAAATCTCATAATTCTGAAACTAATCGTTAGAATTGGCTAAACTTTCGTATTTTTAGTTACATTTATATTTATTTAATATTTACAAATTGAACTTTTTCTGGATGATTTGGCAAGGAATGACCAATTTTATTTTATCTTTTACACATATAAAATTATCGTAAGACAGAACTATGCTAGAAACCTTCGGATGAATAGTTTAGTAATGCATAAAGGACAGACAGACAGACATATATTAATTATATATATATATATATATATATATATATATATATATATATATATAGATAGATAGATAGATAGATGTATAAATGTTGTTAGTCTATTTCAAATTTTTGCTCATAGCCATTTTTTAAATGGTATTGCAACCAACTTTAAACTGATTTTACATAAATTAATCTATTAAAATGAAAGATACATATCCGAATTATCATAAGCAGTCTTAACTACTTACACGCATAGGCGCTGATTTGAACTATAAATAAAGTACTCACAATTAAATAATTAATTGAAGGATGAAACCTGCTGGTTGAGTTTGATCTCGGTCACTAGTGGATCGAGGATTTCATTTTGGGAGGGGGGGGGCTTCAGCCCAAAACCTCTTTTACTTTGGAAAAACAGAAAGAAACTAACTACCTATATGAAATAGTGTTTAAGTTATTCCTTAAGTACTTTTAAATGTAATTACACGAACAATAATACTTTAAGAGGTATTTTTAAAAACTTTTTTCTCATAAAACATGGTTATATTTTTCCATTTTGGGGGACTGAAGCCCCCCCCCCCGTAGATCCGCCCGTGATCTCGGTCAAATCATCTCCTTTTACAATCGTTGACCAAGAAACAATAACTCGTTACAAACACAGGCAGATCTACGGGGGGGGGGGAGAGGGCTTTCCGGCTGAAGTCCCCCAAAAAGGGTAAAATATAACCATATTTTACAGAAAAAAATATTAATATCTCTTAAAGTATTCTTGTTCGTTTAATTACATTTAATAGGACTTAAAGAATCACTTAAACACTACTTCATATAGGTTGTTCATTTCTTTCTTCTTCTTTTTTTTTCAAATTAATTATCGTTATATATATGAAAAAAATCTTTCGGGCTGAAGTCCCCTCCAAAATTAAATCCTGGTTCCGCTAGTGCCCCCCTTCATACAAATTCAGGCCATGTCCCTTTTACCAGTTCTTTAGCTCACTTACTACAATACTTCGTGAGCTCTAATAACTTTATTAATTTACTAAATTGAAACAAGAGCCTCACAATTCTCCTCAATCAATCTTGACTTCCCGTTGAATACAGTTAACAACGTAAACTTTCTGTTTCCTACTGGTGGTGGCAGCACATCCGCCATTGCCTTCATTGATATTTATATTGAACATTTATAATTAGCAATTGTTTATTAATTCTTTTACTTTAAAAATTTCAATAAAATTTTTAATGAAATTCCTCTAAAGTTTAATTTATTATTATTAAAATTTTTAATAACTTACTTTCGGATTATATTATAATGAAGTGTTTTAACTAATTATTATTAAATTTAATTGTTATATATTATTCTAATTATCTTTATTAAATTTAAATAATAATTAGTTATTATTTTAATAATGCATTTATAAAATAAAGATGATAAAGCGTTATCTGCCAGCTGTTCTTCAAGGAGTAGACCTGGGCTTGGGCCGTGATATCAGCCGCCATATTCGCTTTAGCAGTCACTCGTTCTGTTCGTTCGTGCCTCGTGGCTTCTTCTCTTCTCGCAGGAATTATCTGCAGCATTTACTGTGTTATTTAGTTAATTACCTGTTAAGAAACTATTCTTGAAGAAACATGTCTTACCACATCAAGGATGCTGTAAGTTTTTTATAAACTTATATCTTAGTTTTCGTTATTTGTTTTTTTTTTTTAGTCATACTTCATTATCCAATCAAAACAGGCTATCTTGGAATCATTTTCGATTAATGTTAATTATTTAGCCATTTGGAGTTATATATTAAATATGTTTATGATAAAACAATTAAAGATTGTCTAGTGAATTTTACAGTAAATCTTATTTTGTTTATTTCGCTTTTTTTAAATTTATTTTATTACTAGTTTCGATTTTAATATTTCAGTGCTATATTCCGTACATTTTTAATCTACAAATTTACTTTTCATGTGGTTTCAAATAGACATCAAATCATTACAGCCTAGGTTAGTCTGGTCAATGTTATTCAATAGGGAATGGTGCAATAGTATGAATCACCAGTTAAAGGGATTCCCATTATTTTTATTATTGTTTCCTTGTTCTTCTTAATTCTTATATAATATACAATGTAGTTAGTATAAATCAGCGCATATTAAATGGAAATGTTTGGTTTATAACTAATACAAATTTTTCTCATTTCGATAATTTCTCTTGTTAAGGATGACTTGCAGAACAAGTTGAAAGAAGCCGGAGATAATTTGGTGGTTATAGATTTCCACGCGACATGGTGTGGACCTTGCCGTAAAATTGGACCAAAATATGAGGTAGCAACATTGTGTAATGTATCTTATTGTAGCCAATAGTATATCACAGTTTATTAAAACAAAATTGCATGTAGGAATTCGCCGGTTCTTATCCCGATGTGATGTTCCTTAAAGTTGATGTTGATGAATGTGAAGACATTGCTGCCCAGTATGAAATTTCAGTGATGCCCACATTTATTTTTGTCAAGAATGGTAAAAAGGTATGTAGAGAAATTTTTAATTTGAAGAATTTTAAATGTAATTGATCTACTTGTAATTTTAATAGCTACTATGAAGATGATCCATATTTGATTTAGTCTTATCTATTTTTTTTTTTTTCATTATCTCTAAGTGTAATATGTCATTGATAATGATGTGTTATCAATCTTTGTTTTTAAGTTTGCTTCCTTTTGAATGTTATAGGTCATATTTATTTTATTGATTTCATAATTTTTCTTTATTTTTATAGATTGAGGCATTCTCTGGCGGGAACGAAGACAAACTTAAGGAAGTGATCTGTCAACTTAAATGAGGCTATTAAATTTTTTTTTACCAGTATTACATGCTTGAAAGTTTAACGCAGAACTATTTAAAAATAAATTTATAAATGCTATGTTGCTGGATCGATGTCTTTATTTTATTTTAAAAAATGTAAAATTTAAGAAATAAAATCAGATTGATTTTAACGATAATATCCCTATGTAGTCGAAATGTTTCAATTGATATTTGTCCATTCCTTATTAATGAAATTATCTTGTTTTATTGTATTTTATTATATTTTCTTTGTTATGTTTCTTACAAGAAAAGGATCATTTCTTGTAATGATTGATTTCTGGTTTAAGGATATGAAATTTTTATTTTTAAATAATTTATGAAATAAATTTTTAGGTTTATAAGAGTTGCATTTGTTTTTACTCACTCTGTCACTTTACAATTGTATTGTAAACTTCTGGTGTTGTCTGTTACCTTTTAACTAGTTTGCCTAGAATACGCATTTAAAAAAAAAAAAAATTGCTGCTCCTTTGTCCGAGGAACAGAAAAATAATATAAAGTTGGTTTGATATTAATTATAATATTCTTGATTTTTATATATTTTGAAATGTAAAGATAGGTGTATCAGAGGTATGAAGGCAGTTTGTTCTTTATTAATATAAAATGTGCAGCATATATTAAGAAAGATTTTAAAAAATTTAGCACCTCACATGAAAATATTTTATGAATAAACATTGAATGAATCTTCAAAAGTTGTTGTTTTCTCTCTACCTTATTTATTTTTATATATTCTTTCATAATATTGATAATTGATTGTAGTGGAAAAGTTCGCTGAAATTGATGGATTAATTCTAGAAATGTGACTGATGCATAATTTTATTTATATTACATTTATTATTTATTTCAGTCTAACATTCATAGAAATAAAATAAAATTAACAGTTCATTTTTAAAAATTGTTGGCCTTGAAGTATTTACAATAATCTTAAAACCATGATGTCATAATGAATGGAGTTTAATGTATTTAAAAAACAAACCGTTTTAATATACTTTAAACTAATCAATGGCCTGCAAAAAAACCTTTTAGGTAAGTACATGGGAATTGGATTAAACTTAAGGTTTTTAAAAGTATGCTGTTATTAATTATACTATCAGTTGATAAATGTTGAGAATATTAGTATAGTTTTGGTTTGCCGAGATGAACATAAATTAAATTTTCTATGGAAATAAAGAACAAATAATTACCACACTCTATTGACAACTTGTTAAGGGTTCCAAAATTAAAAAAAAAAAAAATATATATATATATATATATATAAAATATCCTTTCAGATGACTTACTATTAGCACATTTATATAACAAATAATAGTATTAAAAAATTAATTTTAACCAGTCAACAATATGTACTGTATATAAAAAATGCTGCAAATTATTTCACAATGGTTTATTATTTTTTAATAACAATTCTACATCTAAAGTATCATTACCTTCCTAGTTAAAAAAAATATAAAAGGTGGTTCCAATTATTGGACTAAACTTTTGTTTTAATCATTAGTAATGCCTAGGTAATGCTAAAACAATTGGCATTACCTAAGTAACAGATTAAAAAAACAAAACAAAAGGACTTTGAAATTTGAAGGGCGTCGAGAAAATGACTTCAGCCAAGTTTCAATGAAATCGGTACATTCGTTTAGGAACTACAGTCTATAGCAACGCTGGTTTTTCTGCATTTTTTCTTTCTCCTTTATTGACAAATACAATTCTTTCAAAAGTTATATTTAGCATTTTTTCGTAACTCTGAATAATGCGAAATGGTTAATTTTTTTAAATAAACCATATTAAAGGTACTTTAGAGGAAGACATATATGAACATTGGGCATTTAAGCCCTGTAAAGTGACATCAACGGGAATAAAACCAAAATTATATTAAAGACCACTTAATTATATAATGATACACTGAGTTTGATCAAAATCGTTAGAGTCGTTTTTGAGAAAACTGCAAAAATGTGTTTCAGCGCTGATATAAAGTGGCACTTCCGGTCTGCCGATTTTAAGGAAAAAGTTGCCGTCACAACTAAGGCATATACCTATCTTAAATACGTGATATCAGTTTCGTAGGACTTTTCGTTTTTGAGCTAGACTGCTAATAGACACACAGACCATTTTTCGGGACTTTGTTATTTGGACTCAGGGCACGGGCGGATATACGGGGGGAGGGCTTTCAGGCTGAAGGTTTATTATTTCCACATAGTTACATACCGAATATGTCTTGGCATATCACACTAATTTCTTAATCACTTTGGCGGAAAATGTGTTAATATTAGCCTACATGAAAATATTTTATTTTATTTTTTGTATATAAGAAATATAGACAATGATCTCGATTGCATCCGATCCATGGTGCCTATCCCCTCAAGGAAGATGGCGCAATACTCTCCCCTCCCAAGATATTTTATTATTCACCTTTTCTTAAAAACAAAGCAAGCTAGGATAGAATTAGAAAAATCGTAGATCATGTACAATTAAACATGCTGAGGTCTGTTCCATATTTTCTCCTTGTCACTTTGTCCGAAAAATCACAACCCCGTCGAAATGTGCACCCCCCTCAAAAATTTTGATGGAGCAACTTGCTCCATGAAACCCCCTTCTGAGCACCCTTGCATCCAGTCATGTAAAGTTTTTCATTAACCAAAAGACAAAACAAAGATAATAAACCTTTAGAAGGCTATATCTCTTCACACAAATATCCATTTCGATGGTTTTTGAAATGAAAACTAATTTAGCTCTTTATTTTGTGGATGTTGAATGAAACTGAACCATCAGGAGAGACAATGTTACGCTCATTCGGGTAAAGTCGGCTCCAGTCGATACATTTTTGCTTTCGCTTACATATATATGTAATATATAGTAAGGGAAAGTATTGCGATCGTGAAAATTTTCGAATCTGGGTTTTCAACGGAAATACACGTACCCTGGGTCCAAACCAAGTCCCACTAAGTGGTCTGTGTGTATGTTATAAGTCTAGCTCAAAAACGAAAAGTACGAAAGTGAAATTGCATATTTAAGGTTTTTATATGCTTGAGATGTTACAGCAACTTTTTTTTCAAAATGGCTAACCGGAAGTGCCACTTTATATGAACGCTGCAACACATTTTTACAATTTTCTCAAAAACATTTCTAACTATTTTGATTAAAATCGGTGTGAATGTTTAATTAAGTGGTCTTTAATATCATTTAGATCTTGTCACCATTGATGTCACTTTACAGGGCTTAAACGCCTAATGTTCAACATTTCTTCCTCTAAAGTACCTTTAATTTGGTTTATTTTAAATAATTAAATATTTTTATTGATATAAATAAGATAAGTTTTGAATGAAATTGATAATTGAATAAAGTATAAAACATGAAAAATATTTATTTATTCCTCTGGAAAATGAATCATCTGAAATAGTCAGAAGGTATACGTATAATATATTATTGGAAAGCGGAGAATTTTAGAAAAAAACAATATCTAATATAAAAAGTCGTACGTAATAGAGAGTGACGATAAATTATAAATAATAGTTTGTGAAAACTAATATAATTTAACTAAAATCACATGTTTTCAACGAAATTAAATAATATTTAATAACTGAATGTAAATTTTAAATTTTAAAGTTTGAAATAGTATTTAAACCACCTAATCAAGGCTATGGCATTGGAAAAAGAAACTATCTCTTTGTACATATTTGAAAGAAGACCTGAAATATACAAATATTTCATGGATGTATAAAGTATATGTTTATAACCTTAAATACATTTACTGTAGTTCAATAACTTTAGGTCTGATATTTTATTTAAATAATTAGTTATCAACGTCAGTTTATTCCGAAAAATGGTCATCATGTGAAATCCCAACATTTTTCACTTAAAATTAGTGTAACAACTTTTGACCTATTTATGGCAGACAATGAATATCTTATAATTTCACTTTAGTAAACTTTACAAAGGAAAATACCGTCGAGTTATGTTGTTTTCAAAAACAGATGGAGTAACGAGGTTTTTATTCTGTATCGTTGATATAATAAATAGGGCTTTTGTTACTTTAATAGTCTTAATGATTTGTTAGCTGTAAGCTTTAAGATATAGCTTTTTCAAATATGCACTTCAAACATTTTATAATAGTCCAATATTGCCAGAAAATAATTTCTATTTAAAATAGGGCGGTAAGTGAAAGTTGTGTGTTGTGCGCACCAGATTTTTGCATTTGGAATAAAATATCTCAGAAACTAAAATTCGGGCCTTCATATTTTAAGTAACGGAAATATTCAGCATCTTTTTTGTAATGAGCTATAATTCAAAATTGTATTTTGATGTGAGTTAGAGAGTCGACAAGGGAAAAAAGAGAGCGTCAAAAAACCAAATAATGACGACCGTTTCGATCATTTGGACTGAAATATCTTAAAATGTAAATACTATTTTGAATTCATAAACCAGTTTGCAGAAGTCAAATAGATTTTTTTTTTTAATTAGCCGTAAAAGTAAGAAATTAAATTTGTCTATTCGATTTTTTGTTTCACTGTATCGTGTTGCTCCCGTTATAGAAGTTGTACTTAAAAAAAATTATCTCTATTGCATAATTGTTTTATACTAATTGACATCTCGTTGTATACGATTATTTAAAATATTTAGAAAAGTTAGCGCAATTCCGAAAAACAGAATTTATTGAGAGGCGTTAACATTTAACAGAAGACTTCACCTACATATGTTTTGGTCTGCCACAACCTACATAGCTTACCCGTTGCCTCAGTGGTTATTAATTAACTGATATTGTTATCAAAACAATAAACATTTAGTTCTTTGCTATCATCAGGTCTTGGTTAGGTTCAAGTTCACATAGGCATGCGGTATATAATTATTTTTGCATTGTGGTTTCTAATTTCCTTGTCCTGTGTGTTTCGAAATACATTCGATTAATTCTATGATGTACTGACAAATGCTCTTAGAACCAGTTGCTCCAACTTTATAAAGTTTAGATTAAGCATTATCTAAAATTAAACCAAGTTTAATCTTGATCGATCGATCTTAGAAAACTTAGTTTAATCTAT